GTTGCTGTCCAATGTGGTATAACTTAGAGGAGTGGCGTGGACGTGGTATACTTGGGACAGAAGGGCTTGTGGTGGAACCGTGGGTATACTGGGAGAGAGGGGTGGGCGATGGACGGGGTATACTTTGACAGAGGGGTGGCAGTGGAACGTAGTATACTTGAACAGCAAGGGTTGCGGTGACGTGGTATACTTGGACAGAGGGGTGGTGGTGGATGTGGTATACTTGGACAGAGGGTGATGTGGTATACTTGGACGGAGGGTGGCGGTGGACGTGGTAATACTTGGACGGGGGTGGACGTGGTATACTTGGACGAGGGTGGCGGTGGACGTGTATACTTGGACGGAGGTGGTAGTGGACGAGGTATATTTTGACGGAGAGGGTGGCGGTGGACGTGGTATACTTGGACGGAGGGGTGGCGGTGGACGTGGTAATACTTGGACGAGGGGTGCCGGGTGGATGTGGTATACTTGAACGGAGTAGGTGGCGATGGACGTGGTATACTTGGACAGAGGGGTGGCGGTGGACGTGGTTATACTTGGACAGAGGGGTGGCGGTGGACGTGGTATACTTGGACAGAGGTGGCGTGGACGTGGTAACTTGGACAGAGGGGTGGCGGTGGACGTAGGTATACTTGGACAGTGGTGGCGGTGGACGTGGTATACTTTGACAGAGGGGTGGCGATGGACGTAGGTATACTTGGACAGAGGGGTGGCGATGGGATGTAGTATACTTGGACAGAGGGTGGCTGTGGACGTGGTACAGTTATGTTTTCAAAATACTAGCATCAGACATCACTAACCGGATCAATGACTGTTTTTGGTGGAAATGATATTTCTACATGGCAGATAATTTCCTAGCAGTGTAGTAGAGTCATAAAAATCCAACAGACCCAACAGTCATGACATGCATGCTGCTGATAATCTGTGGTCATTGAATCACTCATTGAAAGGGGCATGTTCAAATAATAGCGAGTGTGGAGTTCTATTAGTGAGGTCATTCATTCTTTGATAAACAGCTGGCAATTATTGCCCTTATTTAAGGAAGGAAGGCAGCAAATGTTGGACATGCCGGTTACAGTGCATTTCTCTCTGAAATTCAAGGAGGAAAATGGGTCGTTCCAGACAGTGTTTCAGAAGAACAGCGTACCTATACTTGGACAGAGGGTGTGTGGTGGTTTATGTAAGAATTTATTCTACTTATGAAGGGCGGTGTCCTTTCCCTTAAACAAAATATCGCAGTGCCCCTCCAGCCGTAAAATACAGCAAATATTTAATGAACAAATAATTTGGACTCTTAATAATTTGATCACCACTTATTAATATACCTTGGATCCTTTTAGCCAGTATGGATTTTGTACCATATACACAAAAATTGCCTTATAATAAATAAATGTTTATTTATGTACAAAATTTATATATAAAAACAAACGCAAAAGACTGTGATAAATGGATACTTGTACATACAATCAAAAAATATAATATACTAATTCTATACACCAAACAACAGATATAGATAATATAAAGATTAAAAATTTAATTTTGTTATAAGTGGTAATCTGATAGTACTTCAGAGATTATTTCTTCACACTACGTGGCCATAGAATGTAAAGAAATTTATTCTCTGATAACTTGCAACAATAACCAAATACAAATTAATAATTATGCAATATCTAATTTCAGATTAAATCAAACAATTTTTAGTAAATAATTATATATATATCTTAATATATCTAAACACCCAATACAACGGCTATCAGTCTATGAAAAATAGGAAATATAAGATACAATATAAACTCTTAGCAGTCCTCACCACTCCCAGAACCTTGAGTTGAGGGTTCCCCCAATGGGATGTAGTTTGGGCCTTCAAATGGTCCTCAAGACAAAATGGCAGATGGACCCCTTCACAAAATGGCCGCAGGGAGCAAGTGAGAGATAGTGCAGTGGGTTGGCAGTTTTTAGAGAAAGTGTAGAGGTTCAGAAGTTTAGCAGACGTTTTAGAAGTTTTGAGAAGTAGTATTAGAAAGATCTTTAAGTTCTTCAATGGATGGTTTTTAGGTTTCTTCAGATTCTCCTTCCTTTTGTCGATTGGTTGTTCTTTTTTTTTCAGCATCCTCCTTATGTGAGGTGCATGGCTTTTTTATACTATCTAATCCTTTTGTTTAAAGGACCCTCCCAACAGGCTTGTTGATTGTGCCGTCGGGAAGTGTGTATACATATGATCTGTCTCACCTGTCCCACTGGGGGCAGTCGGATAATATCACAAAACAATTTGAGTATTCATGATGACTCATGCCTTGATTGAAAACCAAGGGAACTTTAGGAATTAAATATGTTATATGTCTTATCCAAATGTAGTTTAATTTTCACTACTAATTCTTGATTAAGAACCATAGAAAGATATATGTACATTCAGTTCCTTGATATTTAAACTGTTTGAAACATTGATTTTCTGATGGAAACATACAACTGATACCAATTCACAAAAAATCTTACTCTTCACCATTTCATACTTAATTTAGTGGTATGCAATCCCAAAACTCTGCTGAATATACTTCCCTTGATAAAAGTGTTGATAATATTGTCTTTTCATAAATGTCTCTGTCGTAGAATATCAAGTTCTTTAGCTTTATATGTCCTAAATTTAACCTTTTGGTTTTAGGAATGAAATTCCCCATGAGTTAGGAAAGACCCTCTGATTTTACCTGTCCCATGTGTGTGTAGGGTGTCCATTGTGTAGGGTTAGGGTGTCCATTTTGTGTGGGAATTGTTAACGGGCGGGTGTCCATTGTGTGCAGGGTAATAGCTTCGACTTCCGCGCTAAAAAAAATGGATAGTGTCAACCTAGGTGTCCAGTTGTGTGAGGTTTGGGGGTAAACAGCCAGTTTATACTTGTAACCTCAGTGGATAATAGTATATTGTGACAGTCCGAGAAGTTTGTTTGTTCATCACACTCTCCAAGGTTTCCTGTGAGCTCTCAGACAATCAGGTTTTGGTTCCTCTATTGTCAGTTCCAGACCTTGTATATGGTCACCTGCCATCGAAGTCTAAATAATGGTGTTTGACCACCTTGTAGAAATTCAAATAGCACAAATTGTCCTTTTCAGTAACCTGTCACTGTGATACAGTCACATTCTGCAAATTCCCGGAAGGGGGAAGAGTCCACCAGATGGAAAGGCTCAGCAGTCGGTGTAACGCAGCAATTTGGCCAGATAGACATGTCTAATGTGGATGGCTGGGACAGTCCTTTTTTTCACGGATTTCAGCAAATGGGGTAGTGAAATGTTCCTGCTGAAATGAACCCATTAGAAAAGGTGGTGTCCTGCTGTCAGATGGAGCAGCCACCCACTGCTGTACCATCACTCCTCTCAGTGGATGGCTTTGAGAAGACCTGACGTTTTACAGTAGAGATCCCAGATGAGGAGCAAGGAGAAGTCTGCACTTTTTCTAGGGTACGCTTTCAGGTGTGCTGTTACCAGCGGGCTGCATGGCAGCTCATCATACGTCTTGTCAAGCATGTTGTCGTGCCCAAGTGCTGGTGTTTTTGGGCCACGCTTTGGTCTGCTTCAGTCAAAGACTGCAAACAGCTAAATGCAGGGCCACATGTGTTGAAGAAAGCCCAAACCAGAGAACTTGTGGAAAGTCTGCCTGGAGTCTAGCAGCGCCCCCCACCTGTGGAGCTCTGTCCGTGTGATGCCATTGGTTGGCTGCCCTTATGCCTGTCCCTGGAGGACATCCTGCTTGTTGGAGTTCTGCCTCCTCCTCACTGTCCTCCTCTGTTCTCTCAGGCACACCAAGTTATGGTCAGTGACCTCATCATCCACCATCCTCCTCATCAATGGAGCCACTTGGCATCAGTGTGCTGGGCTGGGGAAACAGGACCTGACCCATTTCTTTTCCCTCACTGGCACCTCCTCTCTCTAGCTCACGTCACTCCTTTTCCTCATCCTGGGAACCAACATTCACAGCATTCAGATTGATGCACAGTCCTCCAAGCAGCATGGACTGACACTATGATCCAATCATTCTGGGAGGACTGACTCCTCCAATGCATGATGGTGGGGCTACGGAAGGGAGCAGCTGTGTGTGGACAGGTCAGCCGGAGGAACAGGACACTTTGGCAGCTGTGGTGGAAGACAAAATAGTATGAGCCCTGGATGACAGAGGATGAGGATGACTGACATTCATCCACTTCCACCACCTCTATTCTGCATGTTGTGGTTCAATAATACGGCCAGCACTTTTTTGGGGGCCAATCATGGCTCTTCACCCCCTGAGAACTCAGCTGTTATTGGCCAAAGCATTGCACCTGACCTGTGGTCAGGTGCAATGCTTTGGCAATCACAAAAGCATGTATTTTACATTGAGCACACCGGGCAAACTTCTGCATAATAGGATGAACACACGCAAATGGCTAATGTTCGAGTCGAACTTATGTTTGACTCAAACCGTTTCCAGCCCATGCCACTACTAAAATATTATTTTCTGCGGATCTACTGCTTCCTTCACTTTACACCTACTTCATTGATCGTGTGGTGTTTGACAGTAAATTAAGAATACTGAACCATCTGCAAATTCATATAACAACAAGGTGCTTTGTGCTCAAGATGCAGTTCCCTGCAGATCTACTGCTTCCACTTTACACCCGACTTCATGTAGCACTACCTCAGAAGGAGCTGAATGTTGCCCCCTGGTTTCCCTTTGCTTTGCCCCACAGCAAGGACAAACACACACACTTCTGCTCGTTGTCTCCAATGGACCTCAGTCTAGGGGATGTTTTGTGTTTGGAGTTATATTGTAGAATATTGGGATAGGGATTGGGAATGTAGTCGGTTCCTCAGAATCAGAACTCTTCACACAGGTAGGACATATATAGCTGATCTAATGTAGTAGAACACTCTGGTGATAGTCTCGGCAGGATACCCGTAGATAGCTAGACTTCTCTGTAACCAAATAGCTGCTAGAAGTAGTTTTGTTGAGGAGAGCCGATGTGTACCCGCATTAGGCAGGTAGCAACTGACGTGGACAAGCTCTCTGCAGAACACTAGGCAGGGACTCACCTTTCTCAGACCAGGCTGACGGAGACTTCTCTGATGATCCTGAAGAATGGCATCAGTACTTCTCAATACTATTCTCGCGGGGCGTAGTTGGATACGGTTCCGTAGTGTGGGTAGAATACGAAATAATTGAGATATATACTTGTAGCGTCTATCACACAGATAGATCATTGGTACGTGCACACTTGTGTGCAAGGCGACGCGCTTGATAATCTCCTTTCTCACTGACGAAATCAAGTATTTCACAACCACCAAACGCCTCATCGCATTAAACACCCACTAGTTAACCGTTTTCTAATGTCGGAGATACCCACACAAGCCATCTCACTTGGTGGAGACACTCCGGAGCAACTCCCGTCCAGCTCTTGCTAGTTCATCACCTATTTGCCTTCCCAGCGTCATCCTATACTCCTAATCGCGTGCTACAGTGAACTACAAGTGCTGAGCATCCTCCTCATACGGATCTGGTCCGACCACATGTGCGTTAACTCGACAATAGCCTTCTTTTCGCGAGATGCACAATACCACACATTAGCGAAAGTGTGCGACGAGGGGGCACCAACCAAACAGTGAGTGCGCGGGGCCAGAGCTGTGCAAGATTACGCACATGCGACTACAGTGGAACATGGGATGGGGGGGGGTCATACGGTACCTAACTGTGGGGGGTCCCCGACTCAAATGGGATCACTGGGGGGGGGGGGGGGGGATCAC